CTTTTCTTCTCTCAAAAGTCTTATCCCATCTCCTTCCTACGTTCTGGACGGCCATATGGTTTATATATGCATCACAAAATTTGTTTCCATAAGTGTTTCAATCAAAATAGGAAACTAGAAATTCGCGCCCAGAAAAACACTATGCGACCGCATAGTTATGTTGAATGCGGTCGCATAGAACAATAAATTTGCCCCTGAAATTCTCTGAAACCTTCTATGCGGTCGCATGGATTTTGAACTATACGACCGCATAGTTATAAATTTTTTCGTCAGATAGTTTTTAGTTTTTTGGTCGATGCTTTATCTCCTAATATCTGATTGTGGCGATTCAAACTGCATTGGAAAGCTAACTCAAATGGCTACAAATCTTCCAAAAATCTATGTTTTCAAATTCGAAGGTTTTCTAAGCCAAAAATGGGTCTCAAACTGAGACTGGAAATTCGAAGCATAACTTTTTCGGCTGGAAGTTGATATGTGATAGTATTTCGACTATATTTCATCCCTTTAGCTTCTTTTCTCATCCAATTGATACCCAATACTCTCAAATCTTCATCGTGAGATCGACACAACATTTCAGTATTTACACTTGAGTCCTCAAACTTTAATTTTACTTCATTTTAGCCCCTTTTCACTTTTTTTTCCTATTTTTCGTCATATTCATAATTATTGTTCTGCAAAACACAAATTATATTGAATTAAACTATATTCCACGCTTTTACTAACAATTATTCATGTCTGTAGCCTAAAATAAGTGTGTAAAACGCACTTATCATTCAACATGGGTCAACTATTTGAAAGGCCACTATTTCTTCTCTAAGCTTTAGTATGCCCCAGTTTTGTAGGGTGCAAAATTAACTCGATCTATAAGGATACTGCGCCCCCAACCCACCCCCTTCCCGCACATCTGAATGATTTAGTACACAAAATTTTATTATATCATTTTTTAAATATTACTAATGCTATTAATTTACTTTCAGGAAAAAGTTTGAAAAGAAAATACTGCACGTCGCAATGTTGTATATTTTCTCAATCATTGGCATGCCAGACATTGGTAAAGGCCACACTGGCTAAAAAGATGAGTAGAATCTTGCTAACAAGTTTCATTTGGCGTGTCCCTAGGTTGCTAGCAATTGTAAGTATATGAATATTCATGAATTGTGTTTAATCAAGTACTGAAAACGGACATTACTCCAATGGAAGGGACTCAGCTCACTGGTTTGCACTGAGCAATTGGAAGAGCATGAGATTTTGATTGTCAATAAATGCAAATTGACACTCAATTTCCAATTCTTCTAGATAGAATTCGACCATTTCTCACGCATTGACATATTTATAAAACTGAGCTTTAATTTTGTATCTTTTCATCGGAGATCATGCTTTCTATTATTTAGAATATTCCCACAAGGGTTTGAGATCTTGAAGTAAGAATTGGTTCGACTATCGATTTCTTAAAGATGCACACACGGCAAACAATAACTTGGAGGAAGTTGCAAGTTAGTACTTGGAGACGCTTGTCAACGTGAATTTAGTCGTGGTTCGAAAAATTTGGGGGTAAAATGGTATTTCTATCAAAATATGCTAGGTTTATTACTTGATACGTGAATTATGTAAGACGCAAGCAAGACATCGTAAAATTAAATGCGAAGATCAAGGTACCTATAAACCTATGGAGTTCCAACATCTTTGCGTTCATTCCGGAGTTTCGAAGTTTGAGCCATTTGCTTCTCGTGTTTGATCTTACATGCTTTTGCTTGAAAGAAATTGTTATCTTATCACGTTTCGTCAATCGCTAAATCTTTTAAATTGCTCAAATATTTTGAAGTATTTCTTGGTAACTTGTGAAAAAATCAAATTTTGTGTCGATGATATCAACGACTTGTCGATGATCAATTACCGAAACACCATTAGTGATTGCAAACAATTGTCATCGATAATCATTGATGAATGAGCATAAATTATCATCAATAATTCTCTGTCGATAATTTTGTACGAATTACTACCATATGTTGATTTTTGTCATAATCATCAACATTTATATCGTCAACTCAACTAAATTTTTTATTATTAATCTAGAAAATGCTACCTCAACTCAACTTTAACCTTTTATTTTTGCGACTACAATCTCAAACCTTTCACTTTAACGATATCCGAAGTCCATTGAATAGAATCCGTCCAGTATTTCGTTAGTCAACTCTTCAAATTTTGACTCAACTTGACAAATTAAAAGGGTAAAATGTTAAATTTACAAATTTTCTATAATAAAATAATAATTAAAATAAAAAACAAAAAAGTAAAATAAATGAATAAACTATTCATCTTCTTCAACCCTCACCCCCTCCAACCCCCACCTATGCCAAAAACCAAAAACCAGAAAAACAGTGCTGGCAACTGTCACTGGCCACCGAACACAGCACCGGCCACTGTTTCACGGGTTACCTTTCTTCTTGGCACAGAAAGGGACACCGTGCGGCAGTAGTCTGCTCCGCTAGACTACCTTCCGCCTTTTCTCGGTCCGTCTCGGGACAAAAGTAGATTTGATCACAATTTAAAGAAAGCTTACAACACGAAATTGAAATGCATTGAAATAAACTTGATCAT